AAATGATGTATGTATTGAGTTGATAACTACACCAGAATTATCAATCAACCGTGTTATTAAACTTGATTTTACTTGGTTTGAAATACAAAAATGACATCAAAAAGATAGTTTCCAATTAAATATAAGAACTCTTAAATATTATAAAATTCTGAGAATCAATCTATAATTTAGAAAACTATAAGATGTCCTTGAATGTCAAGATAATTTGATAACCACATAAGATAATATGTTGGCAATCTCTGCAAACACAATTTTTGTCCTCAAGTTAAAATGAAAAGTACTTTTTCTTGTGATGATATCTGGATTTTTAACTTGACATGTGTGTTGTTAATTTAGATTTGGGGAGAAAACAAATAATAAAGGCTTCAGAAATTATTCAATTAACTGAAAAAATTCTGGGATGATTGTTTTCTAATGGGATATAGGGCTAAAATGAGTCACATGAAAATTAAAAATGCATTGGAAATTCTTTCTTGACTTTACACTGGTGACACTTTCATAATCATCTGTGCAGCTAAGATTCTCTAGGGACAAAGTAAGGGACTGTGGCCACTCTCATTGAGTCTCTTTTTAGTGCAACCTACAGGCATAAGATATTAGCCAATTATCTCAGCTAACAATAAGAACATAATATCATTAAATATTTGCTTATATCTTACTTGGCACACTACTACCTAAACATATGGGCTGTGGAGGCAGTGGACCTTGGTTCTAATCCTTATCTGGTTGCCTTACTATAAAAAGGGATAGCACATACCTCATAAGGCTAATAATATGTGCCATCACAGAGACCATCCTGAAATAAGAGCTCAAAAACTATAATTGCTATTATTATGACTATAGAAGTTCTATGAAGATAGAAAAAACAGGTGTTTCTGCAGTCCACTTAGAGATGAAGCCATCAAATCTTACAGAGTTTAAACCACACACCAGTGCTTCATGTTCATGAAAATTATAGCATCACTGGTGAAAATGAGACAAACAAAAATAATTCATCTGATGCTTTTGAGGAGTTATTAAGTTGGGGGAAAAGACTGAGAGAATTACAATCAGCATATGATGGGATAGGTGAAGATAGTCAGAGAAGATGACTTAGCTGAACAATACACAATTACACACCCAATGTAAGGACAGAAAAGTATTACTATCTCAGTGTTCATAGCATTATTCATAACAAAATCTGTTGTTTTGATCTATTGATTGAGAAAAGAAGGGTTTGAGTAAACAGACTAGAACATATTTAAATTTAAAGAATCAAGGCTAGTTCTGTCACTCAGCTGGGTGGATCATTCATTTCTCAGAGGGTTTAGAGAAAGGCCTGTTCTCATTCTACACTTTGCCCCCGTACTCAACATACTGAACTGTAACCACCCCCCTCCCACCTTGCGTCACTAAATAAGAAAATAGTTTTATATTTGTATGTTAGGTTAAGAATGCCCTCACTATAGTCACTACAATATGCTCAAGCTTGGGAATATGACAACAGATGAAGTTGTAGTGAAGTTGTGAACTAGTTAAGAGTTATTATAGTATTTTTTCTACAATATTTATTTTCCTCATAGCCTGAATCTCATCATGCTCAATCCAGCTTCATCAATATTTATTGAGCACCTACTGCATTTGAGCCTCTAATTTGAGCTCTGAAAATTCAAAAAATACATGCCTTATATTTTTAAAGTCTAATAATGTTTAGTTAACAGTTAAGACTTGAAGAGAGATAAATGCTTCAGGATACCCAGAAGCAGACTCAGGGCAAATTAATCTTTCTTCTCTACATTTAGAACTAGTTTTGCCTTTACAGTACCATTCCAAAAAGATATTCATGTTCTCAGTTGAATAGCAACTAGCAACTGCTGTGTTGACTACTTCTAGCAATAAAATAATGCTAGTAGTACTTGAATGTTCAGCGTCTGAAAGTGCTCATTTGAGACCCATCTCCATAGAAATAAAATAATCTATATTCTCTATCAGTTGAACAATAAATCCACTGAAGTAAATATCAGGCACAAGAAATGGAGCCTTTCTTTTATCCTTATATTTTTATTTATTTCATGTAGATTTCCTAGATTTACCTTGACAATATTTTTTGCGCCACTTCAACATTATTCTGCAAGATAGACATAGACTAGCCCCCAAAATGCAACTATTCTATTTTTTCAAATGATTGCATTTTTCACAGAATTCTGAAGTGGTAAAGATTTTTTCACAATATATTAGTTTCTTTCTCTGCTTCCTGAGGTTTATTATTTTTTACATAAATTGCATATGAGTTTGATTATATATAGTAAAAGAAAAGGGACAGAGGCACTAAATTAAACTAGCTATGAAAATTGTTATAACCACTTATCAGAAACCACTTGTGTTTTGATGATTTTTATGGGGATTTTAACCAGTGATCACCAATATTTTACTCAAATACTACTTTTAGTGACAACCTAGTGTTCTGTTCTTTTTCAATGATTACATTACAATGGAAAACACATATAAAAAATTTCCTCAAACTATGTCATAACATATACCTAATAATTTTTGCCCCAATAATTTACAACTTGAAAAAGAAACTCTATTAGTACACAATAGCCTGAGAAATTCTATGTATTTTTCAGTTACCCAATTTTTGTGAAAAAAAAATGTACTAGCATGAAATTCAGTAGAGCTCAAAGATTTACTGAAAAAACTAAAATACAACTGTTTTTCCAGTATTCTCTACAACCTTCCAATTTCATTTCCTTTTCTTTGTGGTCTCTCTACAGGTTCACCGGGATCCTGGTGAGATGTGGCTTGCCTTTGCTAGACTTTTGTGAGTGGGGACAATGAATGTGCACATCTTACTGTGTATGCAAGGGGCTCTTTCTGCCTTCTGGGCTGGAATTGAGTCAATTTTTCATTGGAAAGTCAGGCAACATAACTAAATCCTGTTGGCACAGACATGCCTCAGTTCTTATTGGCATACAAATAGGAAGAAATATGGGGAGAAAGAAGAGAATAAAATGAGCTTAAGAGGAAGTAAAATCAGAGAAAAAATGCTGGCATTGGAGGAAAATGAATCAGGATGATTCTTCCAACTCAGAAAAACAAGTAAAGGTAACATAAGTACTGTGTTTCTGCAATCACATAGGATTTATAAGATGAACAAACAGAATGATATAAAAGGCCAGAATCCTCTGAAAATGTTTAGGCAACTGAGGTAATTATTTGGATACTCTCTCTTAAATAAAGAAATAATCAATTTCTGCTTATTCAAGGTTATCTCAATGAGAGAGTTCCAAAATATCCAACCCCCGCCCCGAAACTGAATAATAACAACTGAGGTTTACAACAGAGATCTTGTGCTATAAATATTTAAAAATGACTTCTGAATTATGACAACATTAAATAATTAATTGGTTAACAAAATAGAACAATAAATTTCATTTTCGGTGTTAGGGCATTTTAGCATGTTCTAATTCTTTAAGAAATAGACTTATTCTAGGTCACAATCAACAAACAGTTAAAAACCAACTTGGAATCTAAGGCAAGTATTAACCCAAGCAATTGTCTATCAAAAACTAGTCCCAAACATTCTGAAAAAATTAGAAACATTACTTTTTCAGTAAGTTCTGACTACATAACACTTTGGAATTGCTGCTTGAGATACTTAATTTGTGTGTGATATAAAACAGTAAATTTTAGTTATGAGTTTGTTACACTGATAAACTATCTCATTCCTTACCCTACATAGTCTGGATAAATTAGTATGTCAAATGTAATTTGGTAGCATTGATATGGACACTTCTTATCACTTAAAATAAAAGCCCAGAAGGATTTTAAAAATATTTGTTTACTGCTTATATTTCATGGTATTGAATTTTGAATTCAAAATATTTTGTATTAAATTTGAAAAAAATCACATATATTGCATTGCATTGAAATAAGATGGCTTTGCTGTATTGCATTGCAATATAATAGAATACACAGTTTAAAACCTGTTAATTCTCAACTGCTTTAAATTTTTCTCTTGATTTTCTTGACAGACCTCATAATACTTGCAAAAAGCTACTTAGCACATTTGTTACCCTCTGTGGCAGGCCTGGATTGGGAAGGAAGGACTACTGATGTGATGTACTAAGGCAATGATAAATAAGTAATTGTTCAAATTACTCAAGGAAAAAGAAGTGAATAGGTATGGCAGTTTGTGTACACAGCATAACCACAATTTCTATCAATGGAACTTTGAGCAACATTATATGGGGGAAAAGTCTGGTAGTTAGTAGGAAGGAGGCTGAGAATGACCTGTTTGTGTTTTCAGAGATAGAGAGAGAGAGAGAGACTCCAGCAAGAAACAGACATAGGATGATGACCCATTAATTATAAGGTCACATTCTCTCTGAAAACTTGTTGATTAATTGGTCATTGGGTAGTAGCTCTGGATATTAGAATAGGAGAAAGATCTTGGCACCCTGCTGAATCCAGTCAAGGCTTCTAAATAGTTCCAGAATGGGAAATAACCCAACTATGCCTGCTCCTCACCCAAGCATTCAGTGAGAGAAAGGCCAACCTAGGAGGCCACAAGCTCGGTGGAAAGAGCCTTCCTTTGTAGCTCCTGACTTAGGCGAAGGGCACTGAAACATAAAGAAGCTGGAGCCCTGGGGTGAGGAGAGTCCTCTTCAATGTAAAAGTCTATGAGTCCATGCTGTTAATGGATCTCAATGTAACCTTGCCGAAAGCACTCACAACATTTGGTGTGTGAGGAAAGACCACAGCTTGATTCACACCAAGAAGAGGGTTGGTAAGTTTTACTTAGGACTTTTCTTGGTTATAATAATCGACACTGGAGTTTTCATAGATAGATTTTGGAAAATGAATAGACTCCCAATAAATGTTTTCTAATATAGGCTTCATTTTGGGTGACAGGAACTAAAAGAGTACTGTAATTGCATATTTTTAATTCTAGTTTTATTTTACTCTTTTGATACCACCTCTGTGAGAAAGCACATACAGAGGATGCTCCCAGGACTTACATCTCTTCCAATCAAGTCCTCCTGGTTTTCCACGATGCCCCAGGGGGCGATACCTATGGTACATATCTTCCCTCGAGACTTCGATGCATGGTCCTTCAAGGCATCCCCAACATGACGAATTACACCTAAGAGAAAAAAAGAGAAGTATTACTCTTGTCTTTTAAAGCAGTCACTTTTCATTGTTCTCAAAGAAATTGTGATAACTCTCTCTCCCAAGATGAAATGCATTGGATATAAAATTCGGACACATTTCTACACACACTGCATGTGTTTACTTGATAAACTTGTGCCACTAACATCAGATAAATTTGCTGGGCTGGCATTTCTTATCCTATTTTACATTTTTAAAAAGTGCCTCTAACATTTATAAAAACATGAATGGAATTATTTAAACTTAGGAAATCTTTTTCTTGTATTATATGCTTAATGATGTGTTAAGTATGATTAAGAACCAATCCTATGACTGTGTCCTATAAAAAAAGCACCATATATAACATTGTATTAAATCTACACCACAATTTGTGTAAAAGTCAGGTCATTCAAATAGTGCAGTGACAGCTCAGATTTTGTCAACCTTGATTTCATCTTTTTATTTAGGGATACATAATGTGCAAACCCTACTTGTAAGGCAAATGTTGACATATTCCATGGAGAGTTTGTTAAAAATATATAAACACACCTTTTTATCTTTACCATTGCAACTGTTTTCCTCTTTTCTTGGGAAGGCCTTCCCCATCACTGTGGCCTTTCTCACCATAGTTAAAAGTGAGAAATTCAGTGTATAAGATGGAAGGGCACCAATGGCTTATTGTTTTACAAACCATTTAAACAGGCACAATTTCTAACCTCTTAACTTCTCTCTCACATGATCATATTTATAGAAGATATGAAATTTCTATATTCTCTATGAAAAGGTGTTTCCACTTACAAAATTCCACCCATTCCTCAAGGAAAAATTCACATCTAGTTCCATTTTCTGTATAAAAGCTGAGCTGGATTTCATTCCTTCTGAGTTTGAATAGGATTGTGGTTTGCATATGGCTGAAGAGCTTACCAGGTCACCCAACATAATCTGTTGTCAATCATAAGCATACATGAAGAAGTTTCCTTTAAATGTACAACTATTTGGGAGCAGTTTGGAAGGCCAGAGTCTCACACATCTTTGCGCATTTCAGAGGCTGACACAGACTAAGGGCTCAGAAACTGCGCCCTGAACTAATAGTTCATACCATGCAAAACACACCAGGCAGTTTAATCACGGGACAGGACATGCATGTGAAAACAACTCAATTTGAAATACTCAAGAGATGAAACAGAAATATCTTCCTTTAAAAAAACTGAATAACAAAATAGTGTAAAAAGCCACTAATCCACATTGCACAATTCTGGGAGTGTTGAGAAGAATATAAATTTCATTTACTAGCTTATCTGTGGATCTCCTAAGTGAGAGAACTGGTTTAAAAAACATAAGCTATAAAATTGTGAATACGAGTGTTAAAAATTTTTCCCATTTGTATGCAAAACCCCTTTCAGGGCCAGACCTGGACAAGAAGTGTAAGTTCATGGGTTGCCCTCCATCTGCCACAATTCCACCATCATCTCTTACCTAACCTGAGTGTACACCATTAGAACCTCACATTGGGTACTGCACTGAATATTAAGCCTGGACTGAAGCAGAGAGGAACTCTTTGGTTTACAGTATTCATGCTGTAAATTCTTCTTTGGCTACTAGATGTATTTCATAAGAGAAGAAAAACAATAATATTCCAGGTACTCAGAAGCAGAAGATTGGTAAGAATTTCTTTTGAACCTTCAGGAATTTTGAGTTGGTCTGTATATGAGGTGCGGGTCCTGTCAGAAAAGCAAAAGACTGATCAATCACAGGTGAATGGTGCCTGCTAAGCTGCGAGTGAAAGTTGGAGCTTACAGCCTCAACAGTCACTGAAAGAACATTGCCCTGTAGAGGTCTGATTACTACAAAATAAACAGAGATGAGCTGACTGAGCAGGTCATTCTAAATCATGTCAGTCTGCAGACCGAGTCAGGATTTCGCCAAACAACGATGAGCACGCACAATCTGCAGAGCTCACTGCCAAAATGTGCCTATGGAGGTCTGTGCTCAATGTTCACAGGTTCCTGGTACAGAGGAGAATTCTGAGTGCAGGTCGCACTCAAACGTCATTCCAACTACAAACTGAAGATAAACAACACTGAGCAAATCTTCTGTTTAATGTCCAGGGTTACATTAGAATGCTCTAGTAACTCCATGTGTGTACATGCTCAGACTTTGAACTTCGTAACAAGTTTGAATTAACCCACTGCAGCATTACTCATGCACTTCTACTCAGCACTTCAGACTCAGGCCTGGAAATACGTGAAGACAGTTTACAGTCATCCACTCCATTCTCTGTTGTGCATTAATTCTGCAGATAAACACTTGAGTGTAAGTGAGTTATAAGAATTGGTGTGACAGCCTGCTTGTATCACTTCGGCTTTAGATGGTGGGCGCTCAGTGCAACATGCAGACCTTGTATTATAAAAATGTGCACCTGGAACCTGTGTGATCCTAGTAACCTACGTCACCCCAATAAGTCTAATTTTTAAAAAAGAGTGCCTTACCAAAACTTATTTGGCAGGTGTAAACAACTGTTTGGAATTCAGAGTGGAGTGTATCTCCTGCTGAGGCAGAGGTTATTCAGTAAAATATTTGAAATAATAAGCAACAAATACTCTGGCCTCTGTCATCACAATTTACATCCTAGATGGGAAGGGCATTTTACAAAAATTAAAGCTACTTGCATCAAACTTAAAGTCACTTAAAGACTAGAGGCAAAGCATGTAATTTAGAGCAAATGTTATTCCTTAAAGAATTATTGGGTACAGCGTAGGGACTATAGTCAATGATATTGTAATAACTGTGTGTGGTGGTGGGAGGTACTAGACTTATTGGGGGGTTAACTTCATAAGTTATATAAATGTCTGATCACCTGAAACTAATATAATATTGAATATTGATTGTATTTGAAAAGTATAAAAAATAAAAAAATATTGGATGCTTATTTGGCAACTTGAGGTATTGAAATATCCTATGAAATTTCATTCATCACATTTAAACATTCTGTATGGTCAAGTATTAACTATCCCCACCTATTTCTCATGTATAACTAATTCTTCTTGGTTGAGAAGTAGCAGCATAGTTATCATTTAGGTAGAGGAGAGAGAGGAAATCAGTGAGAGGAGAGATAACCAGCCAGTACGCCCACATGAGCAGACCAAAGTGGGGAAATACTTAACCTTAGGAGAAAATAATCTTAGTCAGAGTGTTCTCATGGCCTTATGTTGCCTTCCCTTTCCCACTTCCAATTACCTGTGTTAACCCCTCCAGTGAATATCCACGCTCCGGTTGTCATGGCTGCTTTGATAAGACCTTTCCCAAAGACTTGCTTGAGTTTTGGTTGGAGTTCAAAGTTCTGCAGGCCTCCATGGACAGAGATGAGAAGCTTGGGAAGCTCCAGCTGCCATTCCTTGGTCATCAGGTGTAAGAGGAGATCAGGTTTTGTATCGAAAGACACTCGCACATACTGGAAGAAGAAGAGCCTTTGATTAGGGGACAGGGCAGGCCTGGCTAGCGCTGCTTGGCTTCAGTGATTGCAATGACAAGCCTACTTACTTGAAGAAAATGTCTCATATGAACTCAGATTTTCAAAAAGGGGTAAATTATCTGCTTTACCAAGTGAGCCTATATCAGACAAAGGGAGTCAGCATTTTAAAAGGTTTTCTTGAAATTGTCAATTACTACTGACTTTCAAATTGTTTGATTTTCTAAAGTGCAGCACAAGCATGATTTTCCCTGGAATATGTTCTTTGCTCAGAGGAAATCATGTTTACATTTTACCAACATTCACATTTGTACAACAGTTCAAATATTTCCCATTGTTCAATATAAGTAATCCCTTTATACCAGTAACACCTGGATGCAATTTTTCTGTGACCCTATTATTTGGAGAGGTTTTGAAAAGTTCTACAGTTCAATGTGATGTAATGAGAATTTTAAAATAAGGGAAGAGCTGATTATATTTATTTAAATCTATAATAACTGCATATCAAATATTTCCTTTATTTTTCAGAGAAGACAAGTGACAAAAAGCACACTAATTGCTCTTGCAGTAGAGCTGAAAAAATGAAAGGGTTTGGGAGGTATAGGAAGATATCACCACCACCAGATGAAATCAGAAATAAAGTTGTGATAAGTACATATAAATGAAAAGCCATGAAACATATAATGATAGATTTATGTTTATGGTTATCTATATCACCATGTACATAGCTACTCCATTTAGATCTCATTTTAATTATATGAAGCCTTCTGTCTCAAACGACTGAAATACTGGGGAAACATACTTGAAAGCCTTTTGTAATTCAGTGCTGAGCTGGCATGAAAAGAGGGCATATTCAGATTCCTAAATCTGAATGGAATCTGGAAGCTGGAATCTCAGGAGACAAGGAAGCACTACAGCAGGCTTTAGCCCTGACAGTTTCCCCTACACACTGGAAGGCTCAGAGCATCTGCTTTAATGCCTTTATGCAGTACGGGTGAGTCCAATGGGGCACCCATATAAATCTGGGACACTTCAAATGCCTCCACCCTCAGGAGTAATGAAGAAAATGTAAGTCTGATATACAGAAAGAGGGAGCAGAGGACTTTGCCTGTTTACCTTTGTTCTGAATAAATAAGACAAAACATGCCCTCTGATTACTTACAAACAAAAGTAGATTCTCACACAGGATTTTGTTCACATTCACTTGTAAGCATGGTTTCAGAAACACAAAACAGAGTAATGTACAGTGGTCCCGGCGGGGCAAGGGCTCCCGGGAACTGGCACAAATCAGTGCAAATCTTCTGTGGAGGAATGTGTCATCAGCCTAGGTCTCACATATTTCCCATGGGAAAGTAATAATTTCATGGCACAAATTAAAATAATAAATCACACAAGGAAATAAAGCAGCATGAATGAAATCAAAAGGAAGCAACAGACACTAGAATAAGATTCTGAAAGATACCAAAATGACCAGGCAGAATATGAAATAGCTACATGTTAAAAAAACACAAATGAGAAGACTACCTATTGCATTGTGAGTAAAGAATAAGATATTATAAGGAATGAGCACGCACATTTAAAAAATAATCAAAAATGGAACTTCTAAAATATAATCGTGTGAATGAAAAAAATGGATAAATTAAACTACAGAGCAGACGTGCTAATGATAGATCCAGAGAAATAAACCAGCTGCCACTTAGAGAGACAACAGAATTGAAAACAGAAGAAAAATGGAGAAACTTGGAGGAAATAATCAGAATTCTGGGTAGACATAAAAGAGATAATGGTGAATAGCCTATACTTGAGTTGATGCTAGCTGAGAATTTCTCAGAATTGTTGAATGACACCAATTCTCAGATCCAGGAAGTTCAATGAATCCCAAACAAAATAAATAAAAAGAAACCTTACCCATAGACACCTGACAGAGAACACCAAAGGGAAGGGTGAGGAGAAACCTTCAAAAGCAGCAAGAAACAAAGACAGATCACCTACGAAGAACATTTATCAGACTGAAGACCTATTCCTCAACAGCATCCATGAATTGCCAGAAGCCAATGTCTTCCATGTGCCAAGAGAAATCACCAATATAGAATTACGTAGTTGGCAAAAATATCTTTCGAAAATGTGAATAAATTATACCTGTTTCAGACTACCAAGATTGAGAATTTACATCTAGCAGACTTCATGAAAGGAAATTTAAAAATATATATGGCAGGTAGAAGTTACATGATCCAAAATGAGTGATCTGGGTTACAAGAAAGAATGGCACAGATATTAGCAAATATATAGTAAATGTAAAAAGCATTGGTTGTCTCATTTATGGTGGAAAGGATCAGAAATAAAGACCAAATTAATATAACATATAAGTTGGGTCATAGTAATGAGAGGTAAATCATTCTAAAGTCAGTGGTGTGGGAGAGAAGAGAAAGTTACTAACTTTAGAATTTGTTAAGTATTAATGTTACAGTATCATAGCCACAAAAATAGACCTGCATGTAATCATTCAAACACATTTTTGAATGGATGGATAACATTATCCATGAGATGGTAATTTAATGTCATATACTTGGATCTGGGAGACCCCTTGTTGGAAAAATCTCAAAAATTATGTCAATTCTTTTGTTAAAATATATTTTAAATATACTTAGTTAAAATGTGAAGAAAAACACTCAAAATATGAAAGGTGTTTGATAAATAAACTGCATTATCAAGAAATACCAAAAAGCTAAAATTTTCTATACACGTACAAAAACCTAAAGATGTGGTAGCATCTAATAAGCTGATTTTATATTGATTGGATCTATGGTAGAAAAAAATCAATTCTAGAATGGAAAGAGTAAAGGTCACCGATTTTAGCTAAGTACAATATATCAATAAAGTTTAATTGGAGTTTGCAATATGAAAATGGCATATTTTGTGCACAAACTTTCATGCAGAGAGCAAAGAAGTTTCAGGTAACTATCAACAGAATGTTTCAACATCAACGCGCACTTCTGTGCCAGGCGCGAAGCCTTGGGGGCAAACTCCCAGTGTTTCTAAAAAAGAAGCTTATTAGCTATTTATAGTTATATTTACAGCTCACTGAGTGACTGTTTATAAGAAAACTATCTAGATAATGAATACTATAAGACGAAAGAATAAAATTATTTCTGTGCCTGTACACTGAATCTGTATTACTTGAGTAGTTAAAATTTGGTGGCTCTGCTGGATTGAATTTATATAATTTTGACTAATTCCAGAAAGGGATTTTTAGTGAAATAAAGTAGAACTAGGAGTCAACACATCTTCCAAACTATACAAACCAAGAATGCTTAGTGTGAGAGATAGTAAGAAATTGCTTTTCAAGTTACCGTTCTCTTATTAACAAACTTTAGCATATCACTCTTTTCTGTCTAAGAAAAACACAAATAAGGACCCATATTCTTTTGAGTTGAGATATAAATTGTACTTTTTTAAATATAGAAAACCATCTAAAGTATAAAGATACTTCTAAAATTATGTGTCCCTTGCATAATGCTCCTGACAATTCTGAAGAATTGTAAAGACACAGTTCCAGTGATTAGAGAAGGCATATGTGAGAACAGCATATTTTGAAAAACAAGGTGAGTAGTTATGATCTGTGGCTTTTGGAACATCAGGATGCCTCACTAACTGTCCCTACCCATACGTTTCATTTATTCAGGTAAATAATGAGAGATTCGGAGCCACAGTCAGTATCGGGAAAGAGATATGTATACAATCATTAACTTACATAGTGTAAAAAGAGATTAAAATGCCTACAAAATCAATACAGAGATTGGCGACAGTTTTATTAAACTGAAACTAGCTAAATAGCATATGAAATTCGATTATTTATACTAATTGGTAATAACAGTCCAAGTGCATTTTTAGGAATAACCCTCACTTGGCAAATGATTCACTTTGGGGGCTTCTAGAGTTACAGCTTACTGGTAAGGAACCAATTTTTTGATCACGTGAACAGGTCACTGGAAAATGACCAGCAAATCTAATGACTATGATGAGATTCCTGTTGAACTAGTCTAAGCCTTTTACCAGTTAGTAAACTAAAAAAAGTTTGTTCATGAACACAGAAGGCTTGTTACTCAGAGATTAAGTTCTATGAGGGAAGGAAGGAGTGACCCTGAGCACCTTAACCCAGTTCTCTGTAAGATAAAGCCACGGAAAGGCTCTGGCCCAGTTTTCTCATGTCTGGCCTGTGTAAGGTCATATGGTTCACAGGCCCTTTTCATGTATTTCTCTCGGTTCTCAATTTCTTCATTCTACTGAGAAAAAAATACCCTAACTAAAACCCTAAGGTGTGTTTACTGTCTTGCAGGCACGTACACGCTGTGTGCTTCCTATGTAGCATTTCGTGGGAGCTTTCCAATCATGAGAAGGTGAGTACCATCCACATTTTACCGATGAGGGGCAGAAAGGATCCATCAAGTTCTCAAGTTCAACACGTGGTAATGTCAGGAGTCACAACCCAGGTCTGTCTGAATCCAGAGTGCTTGCTCTTGACCTCCAAAAGAATAAATGCCTCCCTCTCCTGCCTTCTTCCCCTGCCCCTACAAACAAGCTGTGTCCGAGTCTTAATGACGCATTTCTCATGACGGTGCTCTTCATCAGGCCTTTCCCTCTAATACTTCAGTTGCTATTTTAAGAATCTATTCTCCTTAGTAGGAAGTCAGTTTGGATATGCTAACAGTCCTATCAGCTTTTTCTCTATGTGACATCAACAGGAAGACTTCTCTCCTCAAACCTTTTTGATTATATTATTTTCCTATTCAAGTTATTATGTCATGTGTGAACTAAACTCCCATCCTGCCTGTCTTGGTCCCCCACAGTTTGGCCTTCTCTACCTATTTAGAGTCATTTCCCCACTTCTCTTAGTATTTGGCTAACGCTGTTTCCCAAGTCCTAGAAAACCCAGCCCTTCCCCTCTCATCTATCTAAACTGTCCTAGTCTTTCAAAGACTTTC